TCCCCACCGCTACCCGACGAGTTTCCAGAGGCTTTGTCAGCTGGAGCGCGAGGAGTGGGAGTGGTTGGAGCAAGAGAGGCTTGGGCTGGAGCAGCAGCAGCAGGAGCTGCAGCAGCAGGAGCACCAGCAGCAGCCGCAGCAGTTGCAGCAGCCGCCGCCCTTGCAGCCGTTGTTTCCACCTGTGAGTGGCCTTCGAGCCCTTGGAGTTCCTTCCTCTCCTCCAGACCGCTCATTGTCTCCCCCTGTTTATGGTCCTACGTTCCCCCCCCCTGGACTCTTCTCCATCTGTCTTCTCTCCTCCTCAGTCACAGTCGTCTCCTCCTATTGTCCCGCACGACTGGACAGTGCGTTGTCCCGCCCGTGCACGTCCCTCGTCTCCTTTTGACGACCTCCGCACTATCTTGTTACGCTCGAGTCCTCGTTGATCTCCACTTCAGTCTGTTCTCCTGTCACCTCCTGAGTCGTCTCTTACAGCTTCCACGTCTACCCCTATCAATGACTACTACCGAGCCACCCGTCGTGTTCTCACTCGTGTTCTCGCCTCTCTAGTCACGGACCCTCGTGCCTCTCCGTCGTCTGTCTTGGCTCTTTTTGCCACTGTCGCTGACTTTGCCGTCACCCGTCGCCTTGACTACGCCACCAGTGTGGTAGCTGCGCGTCCTCTGTCCACCGGGGGTGAGTCTGCCCTTGGCTGTGACGTCCTAGAGGACAGGCAATTTGAGCTGGAGTTCTTGGCGGCCGCTTCTCCCCATCTCTGTGCCATGCTGCTAGCTCTTGAGGGAGACTTGACGCCCTTGACATACCGACTCCTCGCACGTACCGTGAGGCAGTGTCAAGGCAGCGGGCTTCTCAGTGGATAGCGGCCATGGAGTCACAGATGGCGTCTTGGAGATCCACAAGCACTTACGTCGACGCAGTTCCCCCACCTGGGGCGAACGTAGTCGACGACATGTGGATTTTCAAGGTGAAGCGGCCGCCTAGATCGCCGCCTCTGTTCAAGGCGCGCTACGTGGCTAGAGGTTTGAGTCAACATCAGGGAGTTGACTTCTTCCATATCTTCGCTCCGACCCCGAAGATGACGACTCTTCGGCTGTTACTACACGTTGCAGCACATCGAGACTACGAGCTGCACTCCCTCGACTTCTCCACCGCCGTTCTCCAGGGCAGTCTGCACGAGGAGATCTGGTTGCGTCGTCCTTCTGGCTTCACTGGCACTTTCCCACCTGGAACCCGTTAGAGCCTGAGGCGACCAGTCTACGGTCTCTGCCAGGCGCCCCGTGAGTGGAACGACATGCTGCGCACCACTCTTGCTGCCCTCGGGTTTTGTCCTTCGTCCGCCGACCCGTCGCTATTCGTTCGTTCTGGGCCCACACCCTTCTTCATCCTCGTCTACGTCGACGACTTGGTCTTTGTTACAGCAGACACGACTGCACTGGCTTAGGTGAAGTCCGACCTGCAGAAGAGGCACACGTGCACTGACCTTGGTGAGCTGCGCCGCTACCTTGGCTTGCAGATCACCAGGGACAGAGCCGCTCGCACCATCAGACTCACACAGTCACACATGGTGCGGCAGGTCCTTCAGCGGTTCGGGCTTCAGCACTCCACCACACAGCCCACTCCTCTTCCCGTTGACCACAGACTCAATAGCCCTTTTCCCGACGAGCCTTTTGAGTCTAGTGGTCCCTACACAAAGCTTTTAGGCTGCCTCATGTACCAGATGACTTGTACTCGTCCAGACCTCGCTTTTCCCCTCAGCGTCCTCTCTCGCTTTGTTGCGACTGGGAGACACCGTCCTGTTCACTGGAAAGCTGCTGTGAGGGTGGAGAAGTACCTGGTGACTACATCAGGCATGGGACTTGTGCTTGGAGGGATACAGCCAGTTGTACTGACTGGTCACTGCGACTCTTCCTACGCTGACGACGTGGAGACACAGAGGTCCACTCAGGGCTATGAAGAAATGAGGAATGAATGAACTAGCAAGAAGGTGGGTCCAAGTAGGAAAACCTAAAAGTGTTGTACCCCATATTGTCTACCCCACTACAGCCTACACAAACAATAGCATATGAGTTTGATGCTAAGAGTATCAAAACCCTTATCAACGTCAAACACGATGCTCGTGCATATTTTGGAGATGTTGATAAACCCGGAATGAGCTGAGAATTGTGTCATCACTTGGATAAAGAGCCTGGTGGTGTTATATTCGTATCCCGAGAGAAGGTTTGCGGTGCGTTTTCGTGGTTAGTCGTGATCCGTTGTGCGGGTAAGGAGGGGGTTTTGCGTCGCCACTTCGCAGAGACTGGAGTCCTTGATCCAATGTTGATAGTCACTGTATTAGCTGCTCCAGTACGACGGTGTTGATTTTAGTGGTCGACGACAGATTGGTGGCAAAGTTGAGATTGCATGCATTGTTTTAAGGCTTATAGAACCAAGTCTAAGGATAGCATCGAATGGATATGAAAGTGCTCGTGTTTCACTTTCTGACGTGTTTCGAGGATGAGCATATCAGCAGGTTTGCTTAGCAACTACGGTACTGTAACAACCAGGCCAGTGGGACGATGGAATAGAATCCTGCCACGGGAGCTCTTGCATGTTGATGCGATTGGATGTGATATAAGGGGCCATTTTGTATTCCCGGACACCCTTCCCGTCGGAATATACGGACCAGCCCAGCTGGGAATCGAAACGATTGGGCGGGTATGCTGATTTTTTTTCCAACACAACCTAGGCCTGGTCAAGACAAGCTGTCTCTTCACTCAAATTGCAGTCAAATTGAGAGGGAAAGGACTGGCACCGACGTCGTATATTTTCTTATAAAAACTCTTGCCAACCTGTCACACTGGTCGTAGAGCTGAAACTTCGTGTGCGATGCTGGTTCGAAATCCCGGAACTGGGAGGGAAGCTTGTTGGGAGAAACTGAATGTGCACGAGTTTCCTCCAAACAAACAGCAGGCGCTGCATGGTGGCACCGAAGTGGATGAACGTCATGCAAGTGACTTTGATTGGTGTGCTGGGCTGGCTGGCAGTCATTCGTTGAATGGTTCCTCTCTTTCATCGAAACGTCGTGACCAGCGACTTCCCTCTCCTCAGTCAACAATGCGGCAGCAACTTTTGATACTGGCACGTGCTGTGATTCTTGGCCGTTGCTAGCAAGGGGCCTGCTGCGAGTCCAAAGGGAAGGTACACCTTGTTTCTCGATGTTTGAGCAATCGGGAGCCCCGGCTACAGTGCGCACGTGTGCTTGGATTCAGCGGGCTGGTGCTTGCAACCGAAATGCACTTCAAGAGAACGGTAGACAACGGTTTATGAAAACAAAACGTGCTTTTGAGTTCGGTTCTGTGCGGCAAAAAAGCTTATACTGCATGTTCTGGGACCAATTTGGACGCATTGATGTCAGTACAACCGGCTTGTCGATATGGCGAATGTAAGTGTGGCGCGAAACAGGGTGTACAAAGAAGTTGCGTGATGGACCCCCACAATTCTCCCCACCCGACCACAGTGCAGATCACACGACTCGCATCGCATAGCGTCGCCCCGCCAGCTGAAAATCGCAACCACACCGGCTGCAGCACCCAGAACCACGATTGTCCTGAAACGCCCTCACTGGCCATGGCCGCCTGCAAGAATGTCGTCGGTGTATGAATCTCATCGCTCTTTTTGGGTAGGGGTTGAACTTGAAACCACGAGTCATTCTCGGCAGCATTATATTTTGTACATTCTGGCTAGCCCTCACTGACGTCAGGTGACAGTTTGCATGCGGTTTCTGCCACTAATTCACCGATTCGCAAAAGTGCCACTGACCTGGGAAGTCCCAAAGAGATATACCGCGAATCAAATGCTTTAGTCAGCCTCAAATCGGATTCCTTCAAGTGTGGGTAATCGTGGTTGACTGGTAACATATTTCTGCGCGAACAAGCGATGATTTCAACGATGGAAATGCTTCCCACATACAACGACGCACACGATGACTAACGAAAACATCATGCGAGCGAAAACATGTGCGATGCTCGTCCACCAGGACTCCTCGCATTCGCTCCCACAGTTTTCAAATCAGCCAACCACAGTCCGTCGGCAACCCGTCAGTAAGGTCACTTGGAGCCGCGCTATGGGACATCGTGAGCTAATCTCCTTGCGAATTAAGTACCATCAATGCCGCTGCATTCACGACCAGCCAATCTGACGAAGTCTTCGTTCTCTTCAATCAGTCATTATCTTGTCCCTTAGCGGTGCGCACTTCCCACCTCAGCAACCGCTTGTGAGGAAGACGTTATTATAATGCTCAACGCAACATTCTCATTTGCCAAACGTTCTCGACCCTTCAAGTCCTATCGCAATTCTCTGCGAAGCGAGTTGTGCGTAGTAACGTGACATTTGGCGTCATTAGCCGTAAACAACCCTCTCAGCTTAAGTACTGCACGGAAGCCATGGCCACTAGCCATTCTAAGAATTTATTCCTTTCTGACACCCTCAGCCTTGGGTCGCTCAAAGCCCACTCAAACGAACAGCAGCTTAGTCCTAAGCGCCTAGCAACGTCCTCACTGTTATCACCAAAGGCGAAGCGCGAAACAAAGGAGAATTTCAAGCGAGGCGAGATGGTCATCGCGCCGCGCCATCTCGGACACTCCAAGAGCCACGACGCGCTGGTCGTTCCCGCGGAAACGCAAGATGTCGCGGCGTCGTCTCCCCGCACGCTGGATGTTGCTCATACTAAAACTGCTTCAGCGAGCCGCGAACAAGATACAGCGTCATCATGCACCACGAACCACGAATGCGCCGCGTCAAGCTCCTCGCGGCTTGCTAACTGCGACCGATTTTCCGTCCTCCCGGACGATATTGTCGTCGAAATTCTTTCGCGACTCGGCGGGTCCGCTGCTGATGTCAGCGTCGCATCAATAACATGTCGCCGTTGGAGAGCTATGGCGAGACAAGTTCCGAGCCTGAGCTTCGACGGTCAAACAGACTCGAAACAGTCATCCACACGCTTCGAGGAGTCCATTTCTCGGATGGTGCTTCGCTCAGAATCCCTCCGCCAACTCAAAATCGTGACGCCGCTTCCAGCGTCTTCGCCTGCGCCGCGCGCTTGCGCGACATGCGGAAGCGTTTCCGCCTCCGCCATCCCGCCAGCCTGCCGCTGCTTCGAGGAGACGGCCCACGGCGCGCACGGAGCACCAGCGCAGGAAGGGGATTCCGCGGCGGCGAGCCACCCGCGGGAGTTCATCTTCGAGGCGTGGATGCGCCACGTGGGGCCGTCGCTGCGCTCGCTCACTCTCTCGCGCGCCGTTCCCGTCGCTTCGTCCACAAATTGCGGCGGCGACGGGAGCGTGGTGGTGAACCTGTGGGAGGAGGAGGACGCGAGTCTGCATCTCGCGCACATCTCCCGCCACTGCACCAACCTGCGCTCGCTTTCATTGGGCCACGTGTCCCTCTCCGCGCCGACCCTGCTCGCAACTCTCCAGCCCATGCCGGCCCTGCAGCACCTCTCGCTCTCGTGGCTGCACGCGTGCCCCGCCGCGCTTCACGCCGTGCTTGACGCCGCGCCGAATCTTCGCCAACTAACTATTTTCATGGCGTCGGGTCTTCCGCGCTTACATCTGCGCCTTCCGCCGTCCCTCCAGCACCTCTCGCTCTCCTACGTCCGCGCGGACTCCGTCGCGCTTCTCTCCGCGCGCTCCCTCCAATCTCTCTCTATCCGCGACATGTTTCTCCGCTCGTTCTCCGTCCGCGACGCGCCCAATCTGCGCCAACTCTCCGTTGCCTCCGCTAACAGCCTGCTCGTCTCCGCGCCTCACTCGAGTCGGCTCGCGTCGATCGACCTCCGCGCGGGCTCGCTCAACTGGCCCGCCATCGAAACCCTAATCTCAACCAATGGGGCTGCGCTCGAGTCGCTCTCCCTCGACTTTTTTACCACCACCAACACATTGGGCCTTCCCTCGGTTTCGTCACTGCCCTGGCTCGCGCGGTACTGCTCGGGGTTGAAAAGTTTGCGATTGGGTGCGCTGGCGTGGCAGAATATGGTTGACTCGGCTGCATTGTCCGGTCTTTTACTGCCGCAGAGGAATAACAACAATTTGTGGCCCCGGCTGGAAGCACTTACAGTGAGAATTGCGGAGAAGGCACCCGAAGGCCTGCTTTTGCTTCATTCGATTCTTTCTAACATCCCCACACTGATGGGTCTGCACGTGACTGTAGAGGGAGAGGAGGAAGAGGAGGCAGAGGAGATGGAGTACGATGGCAGCGATTGCGAAGCGATGAGCATGGAGGAGGACGAGGAGGAAGATGAGGGAAACTACATTGCTGAGGAGGCAAGTGACATGTCACGTACTCCCTCTGAAGCTTCTGCTTCACCTGGCATTTCAGAGGTGGCTGATGCTGCACTGGCCGAGCCCACTCAGCCTGTGGGTTACTGGCCTGCACTGACAGCAGCAGAGCGACAGCACCAGCTGTTTTTGAAGGGTCTGGACTGCCTCCAAAGGCGGTTTGGGTGCTTCCATGTTGCCTCCCCTATGCTTTACAGGCGGGAAACTGCCTGAGACCGAGGCAGGCTGCGTGACCACCTAACAGTATTATATTTAAGGCTTTTTTATTAGGGCATATGCTTGGTTCATTTTTGTCAACAATCCCTCCCTGTATATTTCAAGTTCTCTAGTATTTCTAAACCATCCATAAACAAGAGGAACATGGGCTGTCAGCAGTTCTGAATCCTCTGGCTCCCTGGACACGAAACATGATGCAGAACTCTACAAAAATACAACCAGCGGAATCTCCATAATCCCTCTGAATTTCCTTTCTACGAATCCTCACAGCTCTTGGAATGCCCAGAATATGACCGCGGCTGCAGAGTCAGGTCTGGTGACAGTTGAACCCTGGTTGAGAGAAGACCACTAGGAGCTTCATTGGTGAAATATTTCGGGGTGCTCAGTAACATGCGCTGGCAATCGACTTGAAGGATACTCTTGGCGATAGGCCTCGCGAGTTCTTCAGCTACTTTGGCAACAGTCGTCCTGTCTGCTGAGAGATTTTCGTCACAGCAAGAGGCCTTTCCCGTAATCGCGTTGCGAAACGCGGCTCGGTACGCGAGCTCTCGTGCACGACTCTGCTTTAATGTAGCCACAGTCTGATGTTTATATGGATTAGGCGGACGAAAATTACCGAATGCTAATAGTCTCTGCAGCGATTCGACCATGCCACTGTAATGTTTGCCGCCAAACTCGATCTCGTGATCCCACACCAGACAGTGGGGAGGACCCATCTGAGACGAAGATACATTTACGGGCCGCCTAACGCCAAGCTTAGTCGCCAAATCAACGAGGAGCTTCTCAAACATAACGGCGATTCAGAGGATCAACACAACGCGAAACCTGACGATTGGCGAGGCCGTTCGACTCAATTAGAGGTTTATGTTCGGAGGCATCGTGAAAGACCAAAAGGTTACAGGAAGAGACATCCCGAAGCGCGTCGCATAAGGAGCTGCATGGCAACTCCTGCATGAACCTGATGCCTTGGCTGCTATGGGTGTTGCCTTCCCTCAATGATGGTAGGCGTGGAAAAGCGTGGAGGAGCACAAAAATATCCGACAGTGGCGAATACGATGTCCGATATGTGAGGTACATGCGCTGTAGCATTTAAGCCGATCTAACATAACAAGAGCGCAAAACACACAAGCAAAACCAGCTACAAATCAATGAATCCACTTACAGATCATAAATGGGATCCCTATCCTGGTGGGAGCAAATCTCACAAACAAAGCTAGCACTAGACACCGCGATTTCCGCATATTTGTCAATGTGCCACGGGCAGCACCGCCAGTTGCACCCCACACACGTCAGCATGCGCGACATGCACTGCTCCTTGGAACAAAGCGTACATCCACACATCACCCATCCTATCGACGCCAAATCCACCACCTCTCTCTCACCAACATTGACCACCCGATCCTCATGAGAACCGGGAACCACAACAGAAGTATCAGACGAATCTTGCAGAGCAGGGTCCTCCAACCCTCCACCCATGCTGCCATTAAATTCAAAATTCTGGCCACCCAAACCTGACCTTCCAAGGGACTCCTGCTGTGCTGCTTGGTGCTGTGCTTCTAGGTGCACTGCTTGAATTTGGCCGAGCGGCATGCATGTATGCTTGGTGCACGAGCCGCAGAAGATGCAGCGAGGGATGCAGCGCAGACAGCCACGACAGGCCTGAGGGCATAATGGGGGAGTGAGGGAAGAGAAAGAGACAAAGTGAGTTGATTAAAACATGTGTTGTTTGAATTTGGCCAGGGGCATGCATGAGTGCTTGGTGCAGGAGCTGTAGAATATGCAGAGAGGGATGCAGCACAGGCAGCCACGACAGGCCTGGGGGCATAATGGGGAGCCGAGGGAAGAGAAGGAGACAATGAGAGTCCACTAAAACATGCGGCGACTTGAAGTTCATTTTCAAGGTGCCGCATATTTGACCCGTGCTGTGCTGGTAGGTGCAGTGCTGCTTGGATTTGACCCAGGGGCATGCGTGCACGAGTGCTTTGTGCAGGGTTTGCATAATGCAACGAGGATGCAGTGAGTAAGACAAGTGAGCAGGACAAATGAGTGAGTGAGACAACAAGTGAGTGAGAACAAGAGAGAAAGACAAAGATTAAGAGATTAAAATAGAAATATAACAGGTCAGTAAGCCAACAAGTGAGTCAGACGAGTGAGAGAAACAAGTGAGTAAGACACGAGTAAGGCAACAGGTGAGTAAGGCAACAAGACAGACACACAACAAGATGGTAAGACAACAGCCATTGCAGTACCTGCTGCTTAAGGAGAGACCGAACAGTTGCTTGCACTTTGATGGAGCTTGAATCCTCAGCCACTCGCTCCAGATGCTGCCGCCACTGCACGCTAGTCGGGCAGTCCAAAACTGCCCGTATATTTGCACACCGCGGGCAAAAATCAATGTCCAGAACTGACGGGCAGGTCGAAACAATCTGCAGCCTCCTGCCCGGAAACGCGTCCGAGCTTCTGGCTTCCCCTGCCCGAAGCAGCCCTTCAGATGCTGAGCCCCTCACAGATGCTCCATCCAAAGGCGCAAAAGACAGCCCTTCATTATAGTCACATCCAGTATTTCCTGAATTACCTGACGGTTTAGCAATGCCAGCCTTATAAAGCACAGAGTCTGTGAGTATCTGTGAACAGGTGCTAATGAGGCCGGTGCTGCCGGTGCTGATGGGGGTGCTGCTGCTCCCAAAGCTACCTGCTGCTGCGGAACTAGGTTCGGATACCGGACGTCTGGGAGCAGGAAGGTTCGCAGCTGCACGCTTGAGCATGTCACGGATAAAGAGGAAGTCAGTAGAGGGGCAGTCGGTTCCTGCCATGCGCACCTGCCACAGCCGGGGAGTAGATGCGGGTGCTGCAGCTGTGGGGACTGGAGGCGGCATTTGAATGGACTCAAAAGTCACCTCTGTAGAGGGGCAGTCGGTCCCTGCCATGCGCACCTGCCACAGCCGGGGAGTAGGCGCTGGTGCTGCAGCTGTGGGCACTTGAGGCGGTTCAAGGGTAGAAGGTTGAGGTTGCTCAACGGTTGTAGACTGAGGTGACTCAAGGGTAGTAGGTTGAGGAGATTCAAATGTAGCAGGCTGTGTAGATTCAAGGGAAGTGGGAGGAGTGGGAAGAGGTGACTCTGGTAAGGAATCTGCGAGCAGGGGTGACGATGCTGATGGTGCTGCTGGCGGCGGTGGTGGTACCAATGGTGCTGCTGCCCGTGAAGGTAACGGTGATGCTTCTGATGATGATGCTGTTGACGCTGCCAGTGCGCCCCACTGTGACTGTAGGAGTGTGACTATGTGTGATGAGCTCACATGCGCGCACATCCTCACAGAAAGCTGTGAAGAACGGGCAGAGTGCATGGGGAAAACGTGAAGGGTGCGGGGGGAGTGGGGGGAAAGGAAATGGGCAGCGGAAAAGGGTTGAAGGAAAGAGGGAAGTTGGGTGCTGACGATCAGCAATTCAGAATAATGCAAATGATTCCATTACGAAAATAAAAAGTAAAATGTCTAGAGAGAAGCAAGAAGCATGCACCCTTCGTCCCTCACACCCGCACCTTCTCGAGCTGCTTGCAGCCTGCAAGCACCGTTATAATCACATCGCCGCGCACGTCCTCTCCGTCCAGTATCACCTCCCTCAGCTGCCCCTGGGACCGCCGCGCGTACACCTTAACAGCCGCTTCCACCAGCTTATAACGAGGCAGCGCTGCGAGTGGCTCAGATTCAGCACCGCGCGTTCGAATTGGTCGAATTTCGCTGCGAGTTGTTGGAGCCGCTGTTTCGCTGAGGGCGGCAGACACGTGTCGGTGGCTGATTGGGAAGGGCTCTACGTGAAGATGGTGGAATTGCAGCCAGAAACAGGGCGAGTCGCGAATGGTGCGGTAGAGGGAGCGCGATACGCGCTGTAAGGCGATGAGGTCGTTGAAGAGTCGCACATGCGGGAGCGCGAGGAGGAGAACAGCTTCCCCGGCGTCTGTGATTTGCCCGCCGGACATTGCAGGGAAAAAACAAACTTCGACTTATTAGGTCTAGGCAATTACTACTTCGGAACCACGGACTTAAGGACTCTCACCGCTCGTACAAGCTCTTATCGCTCAGTTATAGATTCGAGAATTAACCGCCGTGACGGGTAACTGGGAATTTGGCACGACGCTAGGACAAGTAGTAGAGGAAGCGCGGAAACGTACATAAAAGCTGTGTAATGCCGTGAATTCAGGCTTGTCAAAGCTAGGCTGTTTGTGGAATGCACTGACTAACTAGTTCCTCCACTACAGACGACTCCCGTGTTACAAAGCGGTGCACTCTGGTGCTGGTGCATTGTGAGAAGTTCAGCAAATTCACACATCCCACATGTTGTTGGAGTTGTTTCATTCATGTGGCAGAGTGAGCCACACGGAAGAACTGACGAGGAACACGGGTGCTTACGTGTGCGGGCACGGCTGGATGTTTGAAATCGTATAACTACAGTCGGAACAAAAGCATGTTAATTGTGTTGATTGAGTTGTCACATTCCTGCTCAGCCACAACCCAAACCTACTGATTAACTGTTACCCTAGACACAGCCTGACAGCCCATGTGGGTGTTTTGGAAAATGTGTCTTGCATGGCATGTACCATCCACCCCAGTATTGACTAGCAAATATTATCGCTCAAGGTTAGTCATGCTACCGTACGTGACCAGCCCAGAAGACAGGTAGCCACATGCCGCACCATTTCTGAGTTCCCCCCCATGAAGAATAGTGGAGGCTACACGAAAGCAACTATACCGGCGCTGAAGGCAGTCCAGGCCCTTCATAAACAGCTGGTGCTGTCTCTCTGCTGTAGAGAGTGCTGGCAACTTACCTGCAGGTTGAGTCAAATTGGCCGACAAAGTTTCAGGTCCAGTTATTTGCATAGACTCGTTTGAGTAAGAAAAGGAAGGTGCCGCTGAATGTTGAGCAGAAGAGGGAGAGATGTAGTATGTCTCCCCATCAATGTTATCCCCCTCCTCATCCTCATTCATGCTGATAGGATCACACTCTCCCTCATAGACCATTTCACCCTCATCCTCCTGCTCCTCCTCATCGTCGTCCTCCCCTTCTACTGCCACGTGCAAGCCCATCAAAGTAGGGATGCTTGAAAGAATGGATTGAAGCAAAAGCAGGCCTTCAGGTGCCTTCTCCGCAATTCTCACGGTAAGCTCTTCTAGCATAGGCAGCAAGTTGTCATTGTTGAGTGTACCAGATAACCCACTTCTCCCCTCTGACTTCAGAATACCGGACAACACAGCTGAGTCGACCATATTCTGCCACGCCAGCGCACCCAACTGTAAACTTTTCAACCCCGGGCAGTTCCGGGCAAGCCAGGGCAGCGACGAAACCGAGGGTGGGGCCGATGTGCTGCTGGTAGAAAAAAAATCGAGGGAGAGTGACTCGAGCGCAGCCGAATTCGACAAGATGAGGGTTTCGGCGGCGACTCGATTAAGCGAGCCAGCGCGGAGGTCGATCGCCGCGAGCTGGTTGGAGTGAGGCGCGGAGACGAGCAGGCTGTTGGCGGAGGCGACGGCGAGTTGGCGCAGGTTGGGCGCGTCGCGAATGGAGAGCGCGCGGAGAAACATGTCGCGGTGAGATAAGGATTGGAGGGAGCGCGCGGAGTGAAGCGTTACGGAGTCCGCGCGAATGTAGGAGAGCGATAGGTGCTGCAGGGATGGAGGAAGGCGCAACTCTAGGTAAGGGAAACCGGAAGCCATGAAAATCGTGAGATGGCGGAGGTTTGGCGCCGCGTCAAGCACGGCGCGCAGCGCGGCGGGAGACGCGTGGAACCACGAGAGCCTGAGGTGCTGCAGGGCCGGCATGGGCTGGAGAGTGGCGAGAAGGGTCGGCGCGGAGAGTGACACGTAGCCCAATGAGAGCGAGCGCAGGTTGGTGCAGTGGCGGGAGATGTGCGCGAGATGCAGACTCGCGTCCTCCTCCTCCCACACCTTCACCACCACGCTCCAGCCGCCACCGCCGCTGTTGGTGCTGCTGGCGCAACAGCCGCGAAGGTGTTTGGGGGCAGTCGCCACGGGAAGTGCGCGGGAGAGGGTGAGAGAGCGTAGAGACGGTCCGGTGTGGCGCATCCACGCCTCGAAAATGAACTCTCGCGGATGGCGGGGCCGGGGGGATTGCGCGGAACGTCACAAAGAATTGGAGCACCCAAAAACGCCGGAAGGGCTACTATGCCTAGGTATGCTAAAAAAAAGTATGTACGAAGTTGCCGCAAGGAATGCTCGATGAAACCCTAGAACACAACGAGTACATCTGGCACACTGTAAGGATTGCAACCCCTTTCCCAAACCGCGAGAAAACGACTACCGAATGCACCAGTTACCGTGCGAAGGTGACTTCATGTTATTGTTTTCGTCGCAGCTGAAACTGTGATGCAAAATTTGTGACCTCGACTAACGTGTACACCACAATAGCGTGGGGTACCGACCTGAACCTATATGCACCCACTCAGTAGCGGGAACCTATCAAAAGGACTCTGACACGTCATTGCGAACCCACCCTCAGACGCGATGCTTTTTTCCAGCGCATATGAAGCACGTGTGCTGGAACTTCGTGACTAGCAACCCTGAGCAACAGTAACCACTTCGATCACACCTCGCCAGCCTCTCAAATAGCCCCATCCGTGCTATGCTGGCACAGCTGGCAACATAATCGAGACCTGCGACTCTGGGGAGGGAAGGGAAAGGGTGACCTTGAGCTTCAAAGGTGCCCATTTCCAAGCATCGCGTTCAATTGTGCTTCACTGATGCATTCCCTTCCCAAACTCGTACCTTGGTGTCCTTCTGCTCCTTCGAATCTCTTCGAGCCACGTTACTCACCACCCCGCCCATTCCTCTATTCCCTTTTCCACGACGCCCCCTCTAGCAGATCACTCTGTCCGTCCGCTTTTGGCGCACGAGGCGGCACACAAACAGCGTTTCGCGTTTCGCGATGGCCAGGTTCGTTTCTTCAGCTGAACATGTAAGTATTGCTGCAGGTTCGTTTCTTCAGCTCGTCGGGCTACTTGTTTGCGCCGAATTGATGCGTGGCAGCACTCTTTCACCAGTGTTTTTGTTGCACAGGTCTAATATCCCATTCTGGGATTTCGAGAAGATCGTATGCAGTTTCTGCCGCGTTTGCCGAATCGCATCTCCGAAGACGGTGTGAAGGGCACATCGCCCACTCTGCCTGAGGTCGCTGCTGTTCCCATCCCAATCCGCCGGTTACACCTCGCTAGAGGACAGCACGCTTGGGTGCGCTGAAGGATAACAGTCACTTCGCACATTTAGCCGCCAATCTGTCGCATCCATGCCTATGAAATGTCGTACACACTTTGATGTGCCCTTGCTGTGCGACAGGTTGAACTAGCCTCTGCTTCAATTACCGCTCATGCATGCTTATGTTTTGTCTAGCGCTCAAAATCGCCCATGCATGCTTATGTTTTGTCTAGCGCTCAAAATCGCCTATGTTCCAAACCTGAGCATTTTTTAACCTAAGAAACCACTCAGCAATGTATCACGCTGTTGTACCTAATCGTTGAATCGATGTTTTACCGTTTCGTTGTGCTCACGGTGTATGTTGGTCTAATCTACACAGTCACAGCACCCTAAAATTCGTATCAATTAATGCAGTGGTTACCCGGTTTCCACGATTTGTGACAACCCATACCTCGTTATTGTCTATCTTTTTATAGCCAGTTTTTATTTTTAGGTGTGCACGGAACATTGGTTATCGGAAAACGGCACTCACCGTAAAGGGGACAAAGAATGTCTCGAGAGTGCAAAAACAATCTTTAGGGTTTGTCCCAGAGGGATGCTGGCGCAGTCTCCCAACACTCCCGCCCCCTCTCCACGCATTGTTCATAATAATCGCATTGTTCATAATAATGTTAGTTGTATGTTGCCCAGAGGTACTTCAGACAGTCCCTTTGCAATGTATGTACATTGTTTTCGCCGCAATTTTTTTGTGACGAAGTGCTGCTGGCGAAATCGTGCTGGCTGCAGCAGGTGCAATTTGCGCAGGCTGGGAATTCCGCGGACTCAGCGCCAGTGAATGGATGTCTGCAAAAAGCGGGAGGTTGGCTTGGGGAAGCGGAATGTCCGCTGCGCTCGCCGGTTAAGGTCCCGTCGCATGTGGTTGACGGCCCTCCGTTCGAATGCCGCAGTGCAGGAGGCGAGATGAAAGTGAACTCCCGCAGGGCGCGCGTGCGGTGGATCATCCGCGACGCTTGGAGCTGACGTGTGTTGAGAAGGGAAAAGGGGAAGTGGGGATAGCGGGGGTAAGGGTGGAATAGGAGGTAATGTTTTTTCGAATCATGCGATAAGTTCTGACTGAGCACTCACCTCAAACGTCAAGTACGGCTCCTGGTTAACAGCCGCGGCGCCTCCGCCACTCGATCCCAGGCATAGAGCAGGCACGTCCCGCGTCACTTCATTCCAGCGCCGACACGTCATCGCGGCCCGGGTGACGTTGCGCGCCGCGCTGCCCACGCGCGCGAGGATGGCGAGAAGCAGATCGTCGGGGAGTCGCGCGAATTGATCCATCGCCGCTGATCAGCGACTCGCTCCCGTCACAAAATTCCTGGCCCCAAAAACATGCCCACAATTGTAGCATACTTTCAGGTATCCTACGTGAGCTATGTTCGAACTGCTTCCAATGATGCAGGGAACTATGCTGCGAAGGTTGGGTTTCTGGAAAGCCACCCACAATCAGACCCGTTTTAGTGTTAAGTTCATTCTCCATGCAATTGTTAATATTTTTGTCGTTCATCCGCACCACCATCTACACCCGGGAGAGAGAGAGAGAGAGAGAGAGAGAGAGAGAGAGAGAGAGAGAGAGAGAGAGAGAGAGAGAGAGAGAGAGAGAGGGAGGGAGGGAGGGAGGGAGGGAGGGAGGGAGGGAGGGAGGGAGGGAGGGAGGGAGGGAGGGAGGGAGGGAGGGAGGGAGGGAGGGAGGGAGGGAGGGAGGGAGGGAGGGAGGGAGGGAGGGAGGGAGGGAGGGAGGGAGGGAGGGAGGGAGGGAGCTGAGCCTGGGGGTGCTGGGACTGGAGGTGCTCAGCCTGGGGGTGCTGAGCTTGGGGGTGCGGAGTCTGGGGGTGCTGAGACTGGGGGTGCTGAGCCAGGGAGTGCGGAGCCTGGGGGTACTGAGTCTGGGGGGGCTGAGCCTCGGGGTGCTGGGCCTGGGGGTGCTGAGCCTGGGGGTGCTGAGACTGGGGGTGCTCCGCCTGGAGGTGCTTTGCCTGAGGGTGCTGAGCCTGGAGGTTCTTCGCCTGGAGGTTCTCCGCCTGGAGGTGCTTCGTCTCGCCGAGAGCCACTCTCCCCACAGGAGCTGCGTGAGCGGTTTGCCCGGCGCTGGAGGCGTACTGCTGGTGCTGGAGGTTCTTCGACTGCAGAGGGTGCTGCTGCCGCGCGTCCCGGAGGTGCTCGTGCTGTGGGTGCTGGAGCTGCTGGGCCTGAGGGTTCTCCTGGAGCTGGTACTGTTGAGGGTGTTGGCGCTGAGACTACTACTGGCGGTCTGACTGGCAGTGCTCCTGGTGCTGATGAGGGTTCTGGAGCTACTGGAGGTGCTGCTGGAGGTGCTGCTGGAGCGAGTACTCCTGCTGGGAGAACTGGTGCTGTCCGTGCTGTTTTTGGCGTCGCCACGCGGCCCCGACCGTACTTCGTTCCGCTCCTGCAGCAGGTTCTTGGTCTTACACCTTCTCCTGGTCCTCCTCCTCCTCCCTTAGAGGGTCCACAGCCTGTCCGGTCCCAGTCACAACTACAGCCTGCCTCCCCTTTGCCTGCTCCTTCTCCGTACGCTGGTCCGACTGGAGGTCTTACTGAGCGTCGTGAGCCTGCGTCGCGTCCTGCGTCGCCTGTTCGTCCTGCACGCACTAGTGGTCGCGGTTCGCGTCAGCGTCCTCCTCCTGTCCCTGGCACACACCGGATGTCTCTGCGTCCGTCCACTGCTCCTCTGCGTGCCCCTTTGCCTTCTCCTCCTGAGTCCTCTCTTCCTGCCCTTGCCGACCCGGAGTCGGACTCTCTTCGTGCTGCCAGTCCTACTTTCACGCGTCTCCTTGCAACTGCTGTCACTGACCCTTCTTTCGAGTCTTGTGCTGCGTCTGCCCTTGTCACTGAGCTCGTCGATTTTGCTGCGCGCTGTCGTCTAGACTACGCTGCTAGTCTTATCGCTGAGTCTGAGTCTGCCTGTCCTCCGTCCGTCGGGGGTGAGTGTGCCCTTGGCACGGACATCCTTGAGGACAGGCAGGAGGAGTTCCAGTGTCTGGCCGCCGCTTCACCTCATCTCGCGTCTGTACTGCTCGCCCCTGAGGGAGACCCGGATGCACTACACATCCCGACTCCGCGCTCTTACGCGGAGGCGATAGAGGGTCCCTACTCCTCTCAGTGGCAGGCAGCTATGGATGCAGAGATGGCTTCCCGGAGGTCCAGAGGCACCTACGTTGACGCTGTTCCCCCTCCTGGGGCGAACATCGTCAGTGGCATGTGGATCTTCAGGGTGAAGCGGCCGCCGGGTTCTCCGCTTGTCTTCAAGGCGCGTTACGTGGCTCGTAGCTTCAGTCACCGGCAGGGGGTTGGCTACTTTCAGACCTTCTCTCCTACCCCGAAGATGACCACTCTTCGGGTAGTGCTGCCCGTTGCTGCTCACCGTGACTACGAGCTGCACTCTCTCGACTTCAGCACTGCTTTCTTGCAGGGCAGCCTGCACGAGGAGATTTGGCTGCGTCGCCCACCTGGCTTCACTGGGTCTTTCCCTCCTGGTACCCAGTAGAGTCTTCGGTGTCCAGTCTACGGTCTCCGCCAGGCGCCACGTGAGTGGCACGACACACTGAGGACTACGCTTGCGTCTCTTGGGTTTGCTCCTTCTACTGCCGGCCCGTCGCTGTTTCTGCACACCGACACTTCTTTGCCGCCGTTCTACATCCTCGTGTACGTCGACGACTTGGTCTTTGCCACAGGTGACACTGCTGGACTCGCCTACGTGAAGTCCGAGCTGCAGAAGAGACACACGTGCACTGACCTGGGTGAACTGCGCAGCTACCTTGGCTTGCAGATCACCCGGGACAGAGCACGCCGCACCATTACCTTGACTCAGT